TTAGTTTGGTTGTGCATTTGTAGCATAACTGATCTGTGTTTTTATTTGTATCTGTTTTCCAGCCATTGTGAACTGCTCTTGTTCAGCCAAGACAGCTGTACCTGGGCAGAAAAGCCAGGCTCTCTCTTTCTTCCCTCTCTGCACAGGCCGCCTCCTGCCCCCAAATGCCCCACCAGCCGCTCATAGGGGTGGTCTTCCCTCAGGACTACAACTCCCAGAATTCCTGGGGCGCCAGCTGCTGGGAGTTGTCCTCTAAAACCACGTGGCACGCCCGCCTTGCTGAAAGCCCGAACGGGAGTTTGAAATTCCCTCTATTAGCCTTTGGTCCCGCCTACTGCGACTGCGCCTTTCCCTGGGCGACCGCTCTAGGCGTTCCTTTCGTAGTGCGCCGCCGAAAGCGGTCGTTCCGTTGCTCGGCCGGAAGTATCGCTTTCGGGCAAGGTTTCCGTCGCTCTAGGCGGCTTCCTCGTCAGCCACACTCAAGATGGCGCCGCAGGAAAATCATGTCCTTTGCTTCGAAGGGCTCCACCTCTCCACACAGTTCTTTCCCGCAGGGACTGAATTTTTTTTACCCCATTTAATCCACTGGGCCGCTTCCACAGAATAAGATTAAAATAAAATACGTATTAGTTTTGCCCTACGCCCCATGGCGGGTCGGGGTTTTTTATACGGGTGGCCGCGAGGGTCAATCCGAGGCGCGCGTGCGCGGTGGGATGTCGCGTCGGCCACCTCGGTGACGAAGCGGCTCGCTCCGTGTGCAAAAAGGAAAGATGGCGGCGTCGACGCTTGTGGGGCCCAGGGAGGCACCTTCGCCGGAGGAGATTCACTCCCTGCCCTAGAAGGGCGCCTCTTCCGCGGTAGGTAGCGCGCCGTGGCTTCTTTCCTCGGGAGTCGGGCCCTCGGCGTGGCGCGGAAGTTGCTTCTCCCTGCCCGTGGGGGAGGGGTTTTGTGGATTAGTTCGTGCGAACGGGGCCCTGACGCGTGTCTCGGGCTCTTGGGGGCTCTTCTCGCGTTTCCTCGCGTTTTCCCAGCCTCGACTTTTAAGGAGAGATCTTAATTTTTTAAAAAACTCCTAATTGCGAGCCGCCTTTCAGCTTCCCGAGGCGGCTTTCCTGTCGCCCGCCAGGCAGGAGCCCCCAAGGAAGGGTCCCGGGTGCGGGGGGGGAAGGAGGAAGGGGGGTCCCTCTCGCCCCCACCCTGGGCAGGTCTGTCTGTGTGTGTGGAGGGGGGGTCCCCTTTTGTTCCCTCCGAAAGAGAGGGGGCGCCCTTCCTTTCCGGGTCTTCTCCCTTCCTGCGGCCTGCTGTGGAACAAACAGGGCTGGATCTCGTCCACCCATCAGCCCCAACTGGCCTGCCCTGGAGGAGAATGGGCGTTGTAGTCCGGCTGCCTCCGGAAGGGAGCCTCCCGCCCTCGGGGGCTCCTTCCGGCCCTTATAAGGAAGGATTTGTTTGTTTGTTTTTCCAAGGCAAAGGCCCCCGATCCGGAGCTGGGAAAAGAGAGCAGGGGCCGCCCCCCGGGGGGAAGGCGGGCAAGGCGGGCGAGCAGGGCAGGTTGGGCAAAGGGCCGTTGAGAGAAAAACAACCACAAGGTCTTGTAAAGAAGCTTCTGGAGACTTTAGAGAGATTTTTTTTTCCCTTAAGAAAGGGAAAGACCTCCCTTCTTCCCGTTGCTCTCCTGCTGGAGGTTGGATGATGCATCATCGTCACCGTCAAACACCCCCCCCAGAGACAGAGGGGGAGCTGCTCCCTCCTCCCGTTCCTGCTTCCCTCGGTTTCGCCTCTCGGCTCACCAGTTATTGTGGGGCTCATCCTTGCTGAGATGATTTTTCCTTCACCCTTTTTTTGTTAAATCTGGTTTATTGTACCTGTCACATCGGGGTGTTTTCTATTTACATCGTTGTAGAGTTGATGTTGTGTCCCAGTAATAAAATATTTTTTTCAATAAACACATTCGCTCTGTAGCAGAAGCTTTTTTAAAACAGAGTACGCTTTATTTCAGGTGACAGACAAAAGCTTGTAATAAGTAGGTGGTTTTTGGAGAGAAAGGACTCTTCACAGGAAGATGAAGAAAGAATAATGCAATTTCTGGCCCAAAATCCAGGAGAAAGGCCGTTTCAGTCCACACCAGTCCTAAACTTTCTTATCGGATGTGGAAGGGAGAGAGAGCGAGAGAGATCCCGGCGTCTTGATTTTGTCCTAAGTTAAGCAAATCAAGCATAGTAATGAATTATCTTTGCCACTAGAATCCCAGGCCAGGGACAGAGCCTGAAAGAATAATGCAATTTCTGGCCCAAAATCCAGGAGAAAGGCCGTTTCAGTCCACACCAGTCCTAAACTTTCTTATCGGATGTGGAAGGGAGAGAGAGCGAGAGAGATCCCGGCGTCTTGATTTTGTCCTAAGTTAAGCAAATCAAGCATAGTAATGAATTATCTTTGCCACTAGAATCCCAGGCCAGGGACAGAGCCTTGGACACACACAGACACACAGACACACAGACACACAGACACACAGACACACAGACACACACACACACACAGACACACACACCCCGGCCTTGTGAGAAGCCACAGAATAAAGACTCCGAATTCAGGGTTTCTCTGCAAGGGAAAGTTGGGCCGGTTGTTGGTTTCCTTGCGGTTGTGAGTTCGAATCACATATCAGGTGCAGCTTTTTCTTTCCTAGCTCAGTCCCCAAAGGTGCCTCTAGTAAAACCTCTTTTTCTTTTTCCCCCCTTTTTTTTGTGGCCTGTGCCCCCTCGGAAGCAAAATTATACAAATGAAAACAGTCTTTGTCAGCCACTAATTATCCAAACAATTAAGCATGTTAAAGAATTTAAAAACATGTATTGGAAAGAAAGAGAGTAAAACATAATAGAAACGTTTTCTTGCAGTGGAAATTTAATAGAAAGGTGAATTAGCTATGCTGTATTTTTAAAAAAAATGTTGCTTTGGCATGAAATCAGGACTTGCGAACATCTGCATTGAGATTTAATTAGTGTGTGTTTGTGTGGGTTGTAGATATTAATTTGTTTTATTTTTAGCTGGATAACAATTGTGGGCCTAAATGCCTACTAAAAGCAGCCTGAGCTACTGACTGGAGCAGCCGGTCAAGAAGCTAGTCCTTATGACCCTTTAAATCCCCCCACCCCTGCAGCTGCTTGTCCGCTTAGCTTTTCGGATTTTTTCCCTCTTTTTCAAGTGCAAATCCTGTGGCATTACAGATGATGATGATTGTAAATTGGGATGTTCAG